GGGGGAATAAGATGAGGGGGGAATAAGAAGAGTGGAGGGCGGGGAATAAGAAGAGGGGAGGGGGGGAATAAGAAGAGGGGAGGGAGGGAATAAAAAGAGGGGAGGGAGGGAGGGAATAAAAAGAGGGGAGGGGGGAAATAAGACGAGGGAGTGGGGGGGGATAAGAAGAGAGGAGGGAGGGGAATAAGAAGAGGGAGGGGGGGAATAAGATGGGGGATAAAAAGAGGGAGGGAATAAAAAGAGGGGAGGGAGGGAATAAAAAGAGGGAGGGGGGGAATAAGAAGAGGGGAGGGAGGGGAATAAGAAGAGGGGAGCGGGGGAATAAGAAGAAGGGGCAGCTCTATAGGACAGGGGCCAAGACAGGGAGCTCTTTCACACTACGCGCGCACACACACACAATGCATCCCTATACATACACAGAAACACAACATGCTTCCCTTACACACAGAGAAACACACAATGCATCCATTACACACACACACACACATGCAACCCTTACACACAAAGACAATGCATCCTTTGCACACATACACAGAAACAGACAATGCAAACCCGTACACACGCATGCAAACACACACACTTCTTTTCTTACATACACACAGAAACACAATGCATCTCATGCACACACATACAGACACACACCTTGCATCCCTTATGCATACAAACACAGATTCACACAATGCATCCCTTACACACAACCAGAAACACATAATACATCCCTTATACACAAATACACACTGCTTCCACTACACACAAACACACTGCATCACCTGCACAAACTGGTAACCCTAAACACTACATGCCATAAGCACACATATTAGATCCTCTACAATAACACATAACACATCCCCTACACACTCCACTCCCTGTGAGCGAACTCATGGGTGGGTGGAACTTATGAGTGGGCCTTATGGGCATATTCACCGTCAGGCCCTGGGGCCCAGACCTTGAGCTGTGTAAGGGGCCCCAAAAAATGGAGCTGCTTCCAATTCTCCCAGAACATTGAATTTTGTGACCACAGCTGCAAACAGCCTCCAGAGATCCTGTTCTACACCAGACCAGTGGAACCAAACTGCAGCCCATCATCATCCTCATCTGCTTGTAAGTAGGCAATCTAGTATATTATTAGTGACACTAATCTATAATTTACCTCACATTAAAGGGACACTATAGCTTACTGAAGTGGTTCTGGTGTCTATAGCTGGTCCCTGCAGGCTTTTTAATGTAAACACACACTGTGTGCAGCACTGGCGTTAGTTCATATGGCAGATCATATGGGTGGGGCATTGTGATGTGACATGTGGGGGCAGCAAATTTTATTTTGTCTAGGGCGGCAAAAATCCTTGCACCGGCTCTGATCCTGGGCAGGTGCACCAGTCTACTTGACTGGTTTTGCCCCCCAGGCCTAAGGCTGCTAGCCCTCCCCTGGCCGCTGGGGAGGTCTTTTGGCGGCCGCTGGCGGACTTGTCCTGGCGGCCGCTGAGGGAGCTGCGCTGGCTCTGCTCCCCAGCACGCAGCTGAATGACGTCATATTCCGGCGCCAGTCTCATTCAGCAGCGGGCGAGGGCGGGAGAGCACTAACACAGGAAGCACCTCTAGTGACCGTCTGAGTGACTGTCACTAGCAGTGTCACTTTGAAGCAATGTAAACACTGCCTTTTGTCTGAAAAGTCAGTGTTTACGTTGAAAAGCCTGTAGGGACATGCTATATACACCAGTACCACCACATTAAGCTGTGTGTGTGCGTCTGCTAGTGAGTGAGCTTGCTTGCATGCGTGTGCCTGCTAGTGAGTGAGCTTGTGTTTTTATGTCAATGAGCTGATGTATATCAATAAGATTGTTTGTCTATGAGGCTGTGTATCAATGAGCTTGTGTGTGTCACTGAAATATCAGTGAAATTGCCTGTGTCTGCATGTGCGTATGCTTACTGTATAATTAAACGTTTTACCCTGAAAGGACCCATATTTTATATCAGAAAAAGCAATATATATATATATATATATATATATATATATTACTCAATCATCTGTCCTGGCAAGACATAGCCTTACATATTACACGCGACAATATATGGCGCAGTGACTTATGGGGCTGGCACAAATTTTTTTTCCAGGGCTGCTTTGTATCCCCAGTCCGGCCCTGCCTCCCTTCCCTGTCTTTCTACACTTGTGATAGCTACCGCTAGCATATCTGCCTTCTTCCTCGTTTTACGTTCTTCCTCCCACTTTATCTCAGTTTCTCTATTCATATATACTTTATTTGCGATCTCCATTAGCTGTGATATGGACATCCCTACAAATCCCTCTAACTTTTGCAATTTTCTTTTACTATCACCTTGGGCCTGGCTGACAAATGCTGAGTTAATCATTCGAGAATTCTCAGGGGCCTCTGGATTAAGAGGAGTATACAATCTATATGACTCCAATAATCTTTCATAAAAGGCACTAGGTGACTCATAAACCTTTTGCAACACCTCAGCCGTCTTTGACATATTGATTGCCTTCTTCCCTCCTGCCTTCATGCCAGCAATAATGGCTTCCCGATAAGCACTTAATTGGGGCATATCAGCACCATTCACATTCCAATTTGGGTCAATATTTGGATAATGGGCTGCAGCCCATGCAGCTGGATTGGCCTGATTTAGAGTACGGGCCGTTTCCTCAAGCGCTTTAATAGCCGCTTGATTAATCCGGGTCCTTTCCTCACAATTAAATAAAGTTAATAATAATTGCTGGCAATCGGCCCAGGTGGGATTGTGTGTTTGTATAATAGAGGTAACCAAATCTGTCATGACTTGAGGTTTGTCAGTATACGAAGAGTTATGAGTCTTCCAATTGAATAGATCAGTTGTGGTGAAGGGGACAAACACAGGATCTGCCCGTTGTATTTGGCCATTTTCATCAACGTGTGTTGGGTCCAGTGTAAGTCGGTGGGGCATTTGATAATGTCGGGGTTGAAGGGTACCAGTCATCTGTCGGGTTAATATAGGACTTCGGCAAGGCTGTATTATAGTAAGTTCTGATCTTGGGGTAGTAAGGTAAGGAGAATGAGGCGGGTTAATTTTACTGGGCGGAAGTTCAGTCAACAGGATGTTGCGGGCCGGGCTGGGAGGAGCCTGACCAGGAACCAGAAGTGACGTTAATTCCGGATATATAGAACTAGTGGAGGTAGGTACTGGAAGGGGAGGACTCAGGGCAAGTGGGCTGGGCTCTAAACTAGATGAATGAGTGGGCAGGGACAATGGGGAAGGGGGAGTGGCAACACCAGCAGCACCTCCTCTAACCTTAGAGGAGGAGTAATGGGGTGGGGAGGGAAGTTAAGACTCAGAGGGAGAGTCTAAAATGGGCGGGGTTGCGGCCCTGATGGACAGGCGAGTCCTGGCCACCATGAGGCGACATTGCTCCTCGTGGTATACCTTAATCCATTTAAGCAATTCTTCCACAATCTGTTTCCAACAATCAATATACGGAAACTGATCATAGAATTCAGGCCTACTAGATACAGCCGCGTGCACACGTTGTACTAGAGTTAGATCAAGACTACCACGTGGAGGCCATGCGGTCACCAAAATAGGCCACTCTCTACTACATAATGTAGTCAAACGCTTTGGGGATAATTTCACCCCAAAATCACAAACTTTATATCCCTTTGCAAAGTTGTTCAACATACACGACAAGGGATCAACAATGTTTGAGTCAGACGCACCCATACTGGCAACGGAGCGTCTAATACAAAGAAACACACTTCCAACGATCACACTTGTTTCCCTGGCAACAGCACCATGTGGCACAGTTGCTAGGCCAAACACACACACACAAAAACACGCAGAGAATTCTCGTACATACAGTGATATCACGACGTCTCACTCACAAAGATTTACCAAACACTAGATACTTATCTCTGTAACTATAAATCAAACCATACAATTATCCACATTATAAATCAACTTTTAACTAACCGACTATATCACATTCTAGTAACCTCATCTTTACAATCAGTGGTTATGGTACGGCTGGCAAGTGGTTATAATACTGTTTTAAAGTCACAGATCAGTTAGAAACAGTTATGGTGTTACACATATAACATAAGACAACAGTTTTTATCAGTAGTTATAGTACATGCTAATGGTTATAATACCGTGCGCTATCATACAGTATACACACAATTTACACTCCCACTAGACGGCAGAGCTCAAGCTTTCTAGCAGGACATACAATTCACCAACTACAGTATATTTAACAACATTTACAATAATCCCAATTATTCTAATTGGCCAGCACCTCGAGAACTATCGAACTATTTACACCAGGATTCGGTTAGTCTACGCTGCCCAAGCACCACATAGAGCGAACTAGTGGGCGGAATTTACAACAGTACCCATTTAGTCTATCTACTCTATCAATAGTCCAGTGGCTGAATTTACAACAGGGCTCTAAACTAGATGAATGAGTGGGCAGGGACAATGGGGAAGGGGGAGTGGCAACACCAGCAGCACCTCCTCTAACCTTAGAGGAGGAGTAATGGGGTGGGGAGGGAAGTTAAGACTCAGAGGGAGAGTCTAAAATGGGCGGGGTTGCGGCCCTGATGGACAGGCGAGTCCTGGCCACCATGAGGCGACATTGCTCCTCGTGGTATACCTTAATCCATTTAAGCAATTCTTCCACAATCTGTTTCCAACAATCAATATACGGAAACTGATCATAGAATTCAGGCCTACTAGATACAGCCGCGTGCACACGTTGTACTAGAGTTAGATCAAGACTACCACGTGGAGGCCATGCGGTCACCAAAATAGGCCACTCTCTACTACATAATGTAGTCAAACGCTTTGGGGATAATTTCACCCCAAAATCACAAACTTTATATCCCTTTGCAAAGTTGTTCAACATACACGACAAGGGATCAACAATGTTTGAGTCAGACGCACCCATACTGGCAACGGAGCGTCTAATACAAAGAAACACACTTCCAACGATCACACTTGTTTCCCTGGCAACAGCACCATGTGGCACAGTTGCTAGGCCAAACACACACACACAAAAACACGCAGAGAATTCTCGTACATACAGTGATATCACGACGTCTCACTCACAAAGATTTACCAAACACTAGATACTTATCTCTGTAACTATAAATCAAACCATACAATTATCCACATTATAAATCAACTTTTAACTAACCGACTATATCACATTCTAGTAACCTCATCTTTACAATCAGTGGTTATGGTACGGCTGGCAAGTGGTTATAATACTGTTTTAAAGTCACAGATCAGTTAGAAACAGTTATGGTGTTACACATATAACATAAGACAACAGTTTTTATCAGTAGTTATAGTACATGCTAATGGTTATAATACCGTGCGCTATCATACAGTATACACACAATTTACACTCCCACTAGACGGCAGAGCTCAAGCTTTCTAGCAGGACATACAATTCACCAACTACAGTATATTTAACAACATTTACAATAATCCCAATTATTCTAATTGGCCAGCACCTCGAGAACTATCGAACTATTTACACCAGGATTCGGTTAGTCTACGCTGCCCAAGCACCACATAGAGCGAACTAGTGGGCGGAATTTACAACAGTACCCATTTAGTCTATCTACTCTATCAATAGTCCAGTGGCTGAATTTACAACAGGGCACACTTAGCCAAGATAGGTTGAGAACTAGCAGACGGAATGTACACCAGAATCTGCTTAGTCTCACCGGCCTCCCCGACCTAGCGACCGAAATTTACACCTAGACACGCTAGTCAAGACAGGACACCGGTGCCCCGCATTAACTATTTACACCAAGATTTAGCCTGACCCAAACCACCTATATTAGATGGGCTGACTACAGAGCGTCTAATTTCCAGATAAGCGGTGCGCCTTCGCTTCTTCCCTCCAGAGGGAGGGGGCAAGCCAATAACCGGTTCCAGATATAAAACCCCTTGTGGGCCTACCGCTCTAACGGTATCAGTCTTACCTCTTCGTTCCTGAACCTGGGCTCACACTCATTGACGGGGCACCCCGGTACTTACTACGTAAAGGCTGATGATCTCCTGGGCGAAGCAGCCCAGTGGCGCCGAGATGAAGAGATCCACGCAGAAGTTCAGGGGTGCTGCCGTAGAGAACGTTGGTAAAAAGTTTACCGTCTCAAATCTTTGCGCCAGCTTCCGTGCGATGAGGTTCCTGGACCCAATGCACCAAAGATGTAACCGAGTAAACTTGCAGAAGCCAGACACAGAGAGATGGATGCAGGTTTTCAGGAAGTAAGAGGAATTTATTAACATACCGATTGGGTCTCAGATGAACTAACGTTCCAAAACAGATCTGAGGGCTGAACACATGGAGTACATGCTTTTTATAGAACCATAACTCCTCCCATTAATAGCTCCACCCGCACATACCCTTAACCAATCAGTGGACAGGATTTGGATTTCCTTATATGGGCAGACCACATGGCTCATCCGAAACAAAGGAGAAAGGAATGTGATTTCAGTTCCTGCATTCCTGCACATGCTCAGTACATGGATGACTGTATCTTAGCTACGTGTAACTAACTAACTGATACAACATTCACATATGCCACGTGGAAATCTCGGCCTACTAAATTTACATTTCACTGAAATTCCAAAACAGTTCCATTAATGGTAATCTAAGGATCTTTGGAATAGCAGCTGTGGGTTCAGGAACCAATCACAGAAACTAGGCAGCAAATTTGCCAAAGGGACGGAGTAATTAAGTGGAGCAAAGATCTACAGATGCTGCTTTCTGAAGTAGGCACAATCCCCCTGCATACTTAGAGCAGCAACCCGCCTGTAGTGTGTGTAGAACTCGGTGCAGCTCAGATCTTTCTCAGTGCTGGTGCAAGAGTGGAGGCTCTATTTATTTACAATAATTTTTACCTGGCCAGTATTGTGCAGGGGTTTGGTCTGTTAAGGCCCGTAGGCCATAGGTTGTTGAACAAGGGGGTAGAGCATAAAGATCCTACTACAGAGAGTGACCAGCGGGAGGAGGGAGCTTTATGCACCACCCTCCAACCTGTCACTGATAAGAACCCCGCCCTCATTTAGTATGCTACAGACAGTTGTTCTGCTCCCGTCTTGTGAGTACCCATTTTATGTTATTTTATTTTACATCAATACTCAGTGTACACTCTTGGCTGTCTCTTTTCATCCGAGTATTGGACACACCGTCGACGGAGGAAGCTCACCGTATATCCTGCAAGCGGGGATCAAACCGCTGTACGCCTTTTATACCGGAGCAAGTCTTACGCTCTGGCAAATGTGAGTTTTAGTTCAACTTTTTATTATTCTTAATCTTTCAGTTTTAAGCATATTGCAGTATTTGGGTCTCTATTTTTATTCTATTTTATATATACCTACGGACTTACACCGAGGATTATTCCAAGCACTACCGTTCTGGATCAAGCCCGAATAGACTCTACAATTACAACAAGACCATTTTAGATAAGACTTTTTTACATTTTCCTGGACTATTTGTTATTTAAGTTCTCTCTGGCGCAGCCCTTACCTTTTCTTTTCTCTTCCCAGTTCTATTTCTAAGGGTTCTTTGAGGGATTCCCTTATAAGGTTGCTGCCCATATATTAGTTAGCGCTTACTCATTGTTTTATCTTGTTTTTAGTACATTAACCCCTTCTGACCGGAGGATGTACAATTACGCCCTATTTTAGGCGGCTCTAAACGCCGCCGGGCGTAATTGTACGCCCTCCGGTTTTTGCCTACTTACCCGGTCGCCGGCGGTCCCACGCAGGCGATCGCAGTGGGGGGGACTCCCAGGGAGCCCCCCCACGGCAGATCCTCCTCCTCTGGTGCCCCCCGGCCATGTGAGAGTGGGGTCCTTGTGAGGACCCCACAATCACATGGCCGGGTAGGCTGCCTCCTGCATTGCCAGCAGGGGGGCTGCCTGTAATGACAGGTGGTCCCCCTGCTGGCTGAAAATAAAATTAAAATAAAATGTATTAGTGTAAAAAAAAAATAATATATACTTAGATAATATATATATATATTATATATATATGATCTAAGTATATATACACACATATACATACACACACGTACACTGTCTAGGTGTATTTTACTATTAATATATATATATAATTATATATATATATTAATATCAAATTACACGTAGACTTATACTGATTAAATATATATATAATTATTGTTATATATATATTTATATATAATATAAAAAAATTAAATATGTAAATACGTTAAAAAATAAAATTAAAAAAATAATAAAAAAATATATAGATGTGTGTTATTTCGTTCTAACTGTATTGTGATATTAATATATATATATTTATATCAAAATACACGTAGAACGAAATAATATATATATCTACATACTTAAATATATACGTATATATCACTATATATATACATATATATAAATAAAAATATTTTTAAAAAATTATATAGATATACAGATATAGATTCACATACGTATATATATATATTAATTCTACATATATATTTATGTAATATTTTTACGTTATTAGGTATCTTAATTAATTACAATTAGAGGGACCTGCCTGACAACCCATGCTGAAAGTATAGGGAATTTAATTGGCTAGCACTATATTTAACCCTATAACTTTCCAAGATACCATAAAACCTGTACATGGGGGGTACTGTTCTACTCGGGAGACTTCGCTGAACACAAATATCATTGTTTCAAAACAGTAAAATGTATTACAACCATGATATCGCCGGTAAAAGTGACGTTTTTTGCATTTTTCATGCAAAAACAGCACTTAAACGGACGATATTATTGCTGTGATACTTTTTACTGTTTTGAAACACAAATATTTGTGTTCAGCAAAGTCTCCCGAGTACAACAGTACCCCTCATGTACAGGTTTTATGGTGTTTTCAAAAGTTACAGCGTCAAATATAAGGCTTGCGTTTCATTTTTTTCACATTAAAATTCGCCAGATTGGTTACGGTGCCTTTGAGACCCTATGGTAGCCCGAGAATGAAAATTACCCCTATGATGGCATACCATTTGCAATAGTAGACAACCCAAGGTATTGCAAACGGGGTATGTCCAGTCTTTTTTAGTAGCCACTTAGTCACAAACACTGGCCAAAATTGGCGTTTGTTTGCATTTTTCACACAAATACTAACGCTAACTTTGGCCAGTGTTTGTGACCAAATGGATACTAAAAAAGACTGGACATACCTCATTTGCAATACCTTGGGTTGTCTACTATTGCAAATGGTATGCCATTATGGGTGTAAATTTAATTCCTGGCTACTATAAAGTCCCAAAGGCAACGTAACCAATCTGGCGAATTTCAATTTCAAATGTAAGTGCTATATTTGACCCTGTAACTTCCCAAAACGCCATAAAACCTGTACATAGGGGGTACTGTTTTACCCGTGAGACTTTGCTGAATACAAATATGTGTATTTTATTGCAGTAAAAGCAAACAGTATTATGACATTGACAGTTAAAATGTCATGTAGAACTAAAAAAAATTTAAAAAATCTTATTTTCTCCCATTTTTTTTCATATTAAATTATGTTTCATAGCTAAATATTTGATATTAAATGAAAGCCCTGTTTCCCCTGAATAAAATGATATATAATAAGGGTGGGTGCATTTACTATGAAAGAGGTGTATTACGGTTGGACAGACATGTAGCGCAAATGCCAGGTTTTGTTTACATTTTGTTTCATTCACAACGTGTACATTTGGCTCCGTCCTTAACCCCTTCAGGACGGGTGACGGACGAGGTCCGTCACACAGGGGAGACCCTTAACGACGGGTGACGGACCTCGTCCGTCACGCGGTAAAATTAACCCCGGATCGCCGCTATCGCGGCGATCGCGGGGTTAATGGTGCTCCCGGTATGCCTCTGCATTGGAGGCATACCGGGAGCACCCGGTCAAGCTGCCCAGCACATGTGCTCGCTCTGACCACAAGTCGGAGCGAGCACATGTGCTCTGAATACTTACCTACCGGCTCCCTGCACTTCCGGGTTCTGTGTGAAGTGCAGGGAGCCGGATCAGTGCTGATCCTGCCCCCTGCTGTTAAAAAAATAAAGTTAATTTAAAGTGTCCCCCCCCTTACCCATTTTAATAAAAAATTAACCCCTTCCCTGCCAATTGATCACTGACTACAGTGATCAATTGGCAGGGATTACATTTTACTATGATCTGATTTTTTTTTTTAACACCTGAGGGTTAATTCTTTTTTTTTTTTAACCCTCAGGGGTTAAATTAATTAAATTAATTAATTAAATTATTTTTAAATTATATATTTAGATAGCTGGGGTAGGTGGAAGTTAGTGGGGAATTGGGGGATTTGACGTTAGGCTAACTAGGGGTTAACGTTAAAAAAAAGTTTTAAAAGAAACTTTAAAAAGTTAAAAATTAAGCTTAAAAAATGTTTTAATAACATTTAAGTAATAAAAACAAAAAAACACACTTTACCTAGTCCAAATAAAAATTAACCCCTTCCCTGCCAGTCGATCACTGCCTACAGCGATCAAATAGAGATCACAGTATTATACTGTGATCTAATTTTTTTTAACCCCTGAGGATTAACTTTTATTTATTTTTTTTAACCCTCAGGGGTTCAATTTATTTAATTAATTAATTTAAATATTTTATAACTATATATTTTGCTAGCTGGGGTGGGTGGGAGTTATGGGAAAATGGGGAATTTACTGTTAGTGCTGCGTACTGCTAGTTAGGGGTTAACAGTAAAAAAAATAGCTTAGAAAAATGTTAAATCTGTAAAAAAGTTTTAAGAAAGTTTAGGAAAGTTTAAAAAAAATTTATAAGCAAAACAAAAGTTTAAAAACTAGTTTTTAAAAGTAAAAAAGTTATAAAAAGTAAAAAATACATTTTAAAAACGCTCATTACCACTACACCTGGAACAAACTAGAGAAAAAATTATCCCACGCCAAGGTTCAAAATATGCCTTTTGAATTACCCCAGGGTGTATTCTTTAATAAATAGTATGTGTTTGTGGGGAAGTTTCAATAACCAACCGTCTAAACTATTCCAAATTGGAACATGGACACAGCGTAAAACTTCAAAGTTAGAAAAAAACTGAATGGCTGCGTCTCAAATGCGCCCCTTCAACATCCACATATACCTGGCAAAGGTACATACGGGGGTATTGCTGTACTCAGCCGACATAGCTGAGCAACATATGAAGTATTATACAGTCATAGTACACATAAGGTTTGCAAAATATGCTGCGCAAACTCACTTTGTATGTCAAAAAGGCAGAAAAAATGCTTATTACCACTACACTTGGTACAAGCTAGCGGAAAAATGATCCCACACTAAGGTTCAAAATATGCCTTTTGAAATACCCTGGGATGTCTTCTTTAAGAAATGGTATGGCTTTATGGGGAATTTGGATTATATAGCCTGGTAAAATACTCTAAAATGGGACATAGGCACAGCATAAAAATTCAAAGTTTGAAAAAAAACTGGAATGGCTGTGTCCCAAATGTGCCCCTCCGATGTCCACACATACCTGGCAAAGGTACATACGGGGGTATTGCTGTACTCAGCCGACATAGCTGAGCAACATATGAAGTATTATACAGTCGTAGCACACATAAGGTTTGCAAAATATGCTGCGCAAACTCACTTTGTATGTCAAAAAGGCAGAAAAAATGCTTATTACCACTACACTTGGTACAAGCTAGCGGAAAAATGATCCCACGCTAAGGTTCAAAATATGCCTTTTTGAAATACCCTGGGATGTCTTCTTTAAGAAATGGTATGGCTTTATGGGGAATTTGGATTATATAGCCTGGTAAAATACTCTAAAATGGGACATAGGCACAGCATAAAAATTCAAAGTTTGAAAAAAACTGGAATGGCTGTGTCCCAAATGTGCCCCTCCGATGTCCACACATACCTGGCAAAGGTACATACGGGGGTATTGCTGTACTCAGCCGACATAGCTGAGCAACATATGAAGTATTATACAGTCGTAGCACACATAAGGTTTGCAAAATATACTGTGCAAACTCACTTTGTATGTCAAAAAGGCAGAAAAAACGCTTATTACCACTACATCTGGTACAAGCTAGCGGAAAAATGATCCCACGCTAAGGTTCAAACTATACCTTTTGAAACACCCTGGGGTGTCTACTTTAAGAAATGGTAGGCCTTTGTGGGGTAGTTTGAATTTAAAACCTGCGAAGATGCTTGGAAATTGCACATAGGCCCAGCGTCAAAATTCAAAGTTTGGTAAAAACGGATATGGCTTGGTCTCCTATATGGCACTGTAGCTTCACAAAATAGTGACAAAGACATTCATTGGGGGTGTATTTTTACTCAAAAGACTTAGCTGAGCATAATTTGGGAGGTTTGAACTTAGTGGCACATATGAAATATACAAAACGCCCAGCAAAAATGCAATCCGTATGTAAAAAATGCACAAAATAATTTTTTTACCACATACTTTGGCATATATTGGTGAAAAAATGGGGGTATGTTAAGGCACAATATGCACCTTATGAGATACCCTGGAGTGTCTACTTTTACAAATGGTAGGCCTTTGTGAGGGGTTTTTGAACAGTCAAACTGTTATAATACCCCAAATGGAAGCTAAGGCTCATTAAATCCGTCTCTCAAAATTCTACTGTGAATACTGTAAAGGACAGGTCTCCTATATGGCACTGTAGCTTCACGAAATAGTGCCAAAGACATTCATATGGGGTGTCATTTTACTCAGAAGACTTAGCTGAGCATAATTTGGGGGTTTGAACTTAGTGGCACATATGAAATATACAAAACGCCCAGCAAAAATGCAATCCGTATGTAAAAAATGCACAAAATTTTTTTTTACCACATACTTTGGCATATATTGGTGAAAAAATGGGGGCATGTTAAGGCACAATATGCACCTTATAAGATACCCTGGAGTGTCTACTTTTACAAATGGTAGGCCTTTGTGGGGTTTTTTGAACAGTCAAACTGTTATAATACCCCAAATGGAAGCTAAGGCTCATTAAATTCATCTCTCAAAATTCTACTGTGAATACTGAAAAGGACAGGTATCCTGTATGGCACTGTAACTTCACGAAATAGTGCAAAAGACATACAATGGGGGTGTCATTTTACTCAGCAGATGTAACTGAACACAAAATAAAACTTTGTACAGGAATAGCACACACCAACTTTACAAAATATACACGAGAATTTCTCTGTTATAAGTTTGTGTGCCAAAAACCAAAAAGAACACAATTTTACTCCAATATTTAGCAGAGGTTGGCGGTGAAATGGCTACGTAGAAAGTGTCAAAACAACCTTAGGTAAATAGCCCGTGATGTCTACTTTATATAAATATATACTTTTGTGTGGCAATTTTGTTTTCTTTTATGGCTATTAAGCTTACAAGACAAACATACCAAATTCTAAAATCGCTCCACATTAAAATTTTATTTTACTCCTTGTGCTTTGTGACCTGTAACTACCAAAAAAAACTTAAAATCCCAGACACATTATATATTCTGTAAATCAGAACAAATAAATAAATTTATTTTTAATTACTTTCCTTAACCTGCACTAATTATGCACACATTATTATTGCAAAAACTGTAAAAAAAAAACAATATTTTTCATTTTTTTTGCATTTTTCTGTATTTTTTTTATAATAAGTAAGCATTTATATATATATATATTATATCAAATTAAAGCCCTTTCTGTCCTTTAAAAAACAGTATATAATATGTGTCGGTGCAATAAATGAGAGAGATGCAAATTGCAGTTGAACGCAAACAGCAAGAAAATGCAAAAATTGCTTGTGTCATTAAGCGTAAGTCAAGCTTCTGAAGCTGTGTCCTTAAGGGGTTAAGGGGTTAATATATGTATGCATCATGTGATTTGAATCATAAATAAGTCACAGGTTCATAATTACGTCTTGTTCAAATAAATCAGTGCTCTGTCATATTAACCCCATATGTATATATTTTTTTTTACTTTTTACCATGACAGTTAGCTATCAAGCATTGGCCAGCTACCACACTTAAAGGACCACTATAGTGCCAGGAAGAAAAACTTGTTTCCCTGGCACAATAGTATTAATAGGTCCCCCCCGCGGGGCTGAAGGGGGGGGAAAGGGTTAAAATGCTGGGGAATCTCCTCCTCCTTTGGAAGTCATTGCTCACAAAATCACAGTGAGAAGCGCAGAAGCGTCTCTAGCGGCTGTCAATGAGACCGCCACTAGAGGCTGGATTAACCCTATTGTAAACATAGCAGTTTTTCTGTTTGCAGCAGGCAGGGTTAACCCTAGATGGACCTGGCACCCAGACCACTTCATTAAGCTGAAGTGGTCTGGGTGCCTATAGTGGTCCTTTAACTATTTAAATGCATAGCCCAGCTTTCAAAAAGCAAGTGTTTTTTTGTTAACAAATTAACATTTTTGGGGGGAACAACTGGTTATCAATTTGGTGTTTAGTAAAAATGAGATCTCATAGGAAAGCATTGGGAGGCTAAAACTGGTGTGCGGCAAAACTGTGCACCAATCAAATGGTCGACCATGTGATAGTTATAGCCGAGTTTTACTCTTTTTTTTTTTTAGAGACTCTAGACTAGAGGCCGAGTGAAAGTCACTAGAGACATTTAAACTATGCAATACAAATATTGCCGTTCTGCAGGACAATGTTTTACATTGCAGGGATAAAAGTGGTTGTTGGGTGGGGGGTAGAACCCAGACCATTTAATTCAGATTATTATTATTGCCATTTATATAGCGCCAACCGATTCCGTAACGCTTTACAGTATTATGAGAGGTGGGAAGTGACTAGAAATAGGTTGATAGGTTGAAGAGGACGCTGCTGAAGTGGTCTGGGTGCCTATAGTGCTCCTTTAAGCATAAGAAAATAGCTAACTAAAAGTTCTAATACTCGGTTTTCATCCCACTTGACAGTCAGTTCTGGAATTCACAACAGTACATTCTAATCACACACTGCCATGCTCACTGAAAGGCTCGTTCTAATCACACACTGCCATGCTCCCTGAAAGGATCGTTCTAATCACACACTGCCATGCTCCCTGAAAGGCTCGCTGCTAGCACTGTTGCCATGTGCATTCAGTTCATGCAGCATTAGGATTTATTAGGCTGGCCGCAGTTCGGTGCTCGCTTGCTTTTCCTCAGACCTTGCAGTGAGAGCCGAGCTATCGAGCTAGATTTGCTGTACTGTAAGCTGCCATGTTGGTGTTAGCAGCGACCCGAAGCCTGAGGAGGCCTTTAAGATGTAAGTTTAAAAATAAAATAAAAATATTACTAAAAACAACATGCTAATTATGTTGACTAGACTGTAAGGGACAGCAAATGGTAGAGCTTAATGGCAGGTGCACCAGATATATTGTGTGATTTAGTGTCTGCTCTGTGTGAACCTGTCTATAAACTGCATTATAATTAAACTACTCCATAGCTTCCAATCAGTATCCCCAAACTGGCTTTATAAGAAAGGCCGAAGGCTGACATAGGACTTGTCCTGGCTAATTTGGGCACCAATGTGTTCTCCACTAGTATCTGTATATATTGCTGCGTGTCCCAGAAAGGTCATCTGTATATTAATCCCTCCTAACCAGAATGGCAGTATGGCACTTCTTTAATAAACAATACTGTGTATATATATTTTTACGCTCAAAATATTTAGAACTCCAGGTGACCTTGGAGATTTTGTCATTAGTATTCCCTTCTTTCCAGTTCTACATCTAGTTTTAGGTTAAATTAACTGAATTGGAAAAAATTATTTCTATTTTCATATTCTAAAACAGTAATTTTTCTTGTCAATTCCATATGGTTTAGTGTATAAACAACTGACTTTATTCTGTGGAGTATCATTTTCACATATTTGTATGGGTAGTTTATATTTATGTATCTGATCCCTTCCACCTTATAAAGAGCTGACAGTGTTATGTTAGCATGGCTTGCATTGGGGAAAAAGAACAAGTCAGAGTTCAGAGGCTTCATAAGTGCAGTCCCCAGTTCTGTAATAAATGAACAAGAGCAATGTTGATTGTTTGTGATTAGCAAAACTCGCAAACTTCTAGATATTTTAACTTTTTTTTTTACCTCTGTCTGGACAGCAGTGCAAATATGGCACAAATATAAATTTTTTGCTTTTTTATGACTAGTCAAACTGCCAAATTTTGACACAGAACAATCCTGATCAAAACATAATACATATACCTATTGGCATGTTTGCCTACTTTATTCACTAAAAAAAGACAAATATTACTAAACTGAAAGCTCAAAATTTAGACTAATATATCAAAGCAGTGCCTATAGTTGCACATTTATTTATTTTTACGAACCGCTACTTTTTCCCAACTTTTGCAGTTCCATTGTTAAGTGGATTAACCTCCAAGAGTTGAAATAATCTCACCAGTCTTGTAAACTCTGTTAGTTGATCAAGCTAGGCACTCATTACTGAAGTAGGCTTGTTCTTTAGTCCTGGAATTTTCAGACAATAGCAGCAACATGAAGGGTAAGAAAAGCATAATAACCTCTTTATAGCTATAATAGTTAGTATATACTGCTTTAGTGGGCTGCTTCACAATCCCAGAACAAGTTAACATTTGAACTGATGTTTTTTTTTTTTGTTTGTTTGTTTGTTTTTTTTTAAGCATTTGTTCGTTCTATGTATACTGAAAGGGGACTAGGTCCATCAAGACCCAATTGGTTGCGTGTCAGCCTAACACTGGGAAGCACTGTTGCTGTCTGGGCTCTGGTAAGTACTGTGGCTGCAGTGCATCACTACATACTGACAACTCTAGTGCAGGAAACTCATGTTAGCTGGTTTCATTTGTGGTTAAGGTACATTCCAGATTTACACATGCATACATTTGTGTATAATTCTCAAGTGCTCTATTGCCCATTTAGACCCATTTACCTGTACTCAAATAGCAAGTGGCTCTTTGCCACATTTCTGCCCAATCTGCTAGAACAGTGGTTCTTAACCCCTTTTCATTTGTTTAAACCTTGGCAGCCTATTTCCATAAATTGTACCCCTCATATTAGCATGTTTGCAATTAATATAGTTGCTGTTATTTCATGTAAGAATCAGAGATTGAAGAATTTATGTCCCCTCTCTCCCTTTCCTCTGCCCCAGGTTCCCATTGCCCCCCCTCTACCCCAGGCAGATATTATGTACACAGTGCAGATACACATACTGACAAACACAGACACACAGATGCAAACACTGACACACATAAAGATGCACATATACACTGACACACAGATACAAAAACTACCACACATGCAGATACAGATGCAAACTGTTACATACACACACTGACACACACAGATGCAGACATACAGATACACACACTGACACATATGCAGATGCATAGACATACAGATACAAACACTGACACATATGCAGATGCAGAGATTCACAGTTACAAACACTGACACACATGCAGATACACAGACACGCGTACAGTTGCACAGACATCCTGATGCAGATACTGACTCATTCAGATACAGAGATGTACAGACAGAAAGATACACAGATGCAAACATTGACACACACTGATACACAAGCAGATACACTGAGACATACAGATACACGCACTGACACACATACAGATGTACTGACACACAGATACAAGCACTGATCCACAGTTGCAGAGACCCACTGATACACCCACTGACACAGATACATTGACATACAGGTACACACATACAAATACGTAGATACAAACAATGACATACACATATAAATACACACAACTCACACAAATACACAGGCAGATATACACGCAATGACACACCCACACAAATACACATACATAAAGATATACACACTGATACATATACAGATACACGGATACAAACAATGACACAAACACAGATACATACAGATGCGAACACACACACACACCAATTTCTCTTGAAAAAAGTACTTTTTACAAAGTGACAAAAAGACAACTCTGTTAACTTCTAAAACATTTCGTCTAACAGATGTGCTGTAAACGCGTGGAATGTTCTTTTTATGTGCTGCCCAGTGACACCCTTCCAGAGCTGCTGTTGAACTTGCAAAGTCACAGGGATACACACAGGCATTATGTAGTCATTAGGCAGTATTTTCTTGTATAACATTCTCCCTAAAACCAGAAGACTTTCTATCTTGTATAACACGCATTTATAGGATAAGTTACACTCTCATGTAAACTTGTCGTATCTCTTTTACAGCTCATCAAAGAGCACAATGATGATGTTTCTGAATACAAAAGAAGAAATGGGTTGGAGTGAAGAACGAACATCACACTCAACAACCTTACAGTAAGTGAAACATATCAAACAACACCTGGAGATTAGAACTGCATCCAGTCTGTCATTTGTGCAATAATAAGTATGTGATGCCTGAACCTGGTACACAGAACTACATTTTATTTACAGTTTATATACAGTTTATAGGCACCCCTTTCTATTTATGTCAGCAGCTCCTCTACATAAGTGCACAGAAATTCTGCCATATGTGATGCTCTGTGTAGTACTATCATTCACTCTTCTTCTTAACATTGTACTGGAACCTGAGGAAATAGCACTGTTTACTGCTTCCTGTATCATGCAGATCAGCACCAGAAATTGAATGACATAAATGTACCAGCTTGGTCATAAAGTGCCTGCATTCTGGAGCCCTAGAATGATTCCAGCAATGAGCCCCCAGTTCTGACATTACTGAAAGGTTGTTTGTGTAAGCAGTGTTTACATATAGAATACAATTTATGAAATGTACATATTTTATTTTTATTTTTTTTCCTGTTGTAACAAATTTACTTTAAAGAGGTAGTCACCAGCATGACCAACACAAACCATTGTAGTGAATATCGTGATAGTAGGCTTTCAGCACTTACCCTCCTGTGCTTCTGTATTTAAATTGTTCATAAGTTGTTAGACACAAACCATTTCCTCCAGGCACCCATCATTGAGTATCTGCCAATCAATGGTGTCCAAATATAGTAGAAATTAACATTACGAATGCAGAACTATAACTTCCACATTGCTAATATGGTAAACAAGGGCCTATACCACGGATACTTGTGGTACCCTCCATTTGTGCCAAATCTCCTTAAAACTTACCCTACTAGTTTCATAACCACTACGGACACCCCTCTGTTATGAAACCAACACGTCTGTTCTGTTCCTATATTCCTCAATCAAAGTACATGATGCACTCCTCAGAGGATTAATCACAGCAATCACTGCCCCTTTAAGAGATAATCTATTGGTATGCAGTCAGTATATGATGTATCATAATGATAAATGTATATATTTATTCAATGTTAAAGCATCACCGTAAGCACTATAACTACAACAGCCTGCTATAGTTATGGTGCCAGGGGTGCCCTGGAGCTGACCAACAATCAGATATCAAACTGTACTGTAGTACAGTTTTCCAACTTACCTGGGTCCCACCAGATGCCCCCAGGGGCCTCCTCTGCATTCAGTCTTCCAGTCCTCTGCATCCAGCAGAATAAAGCATGATTGATGCAGCACTGCATTCATTAGATGAGAGCACATAGCTGATGCTTTAGGCTATAGAAAATTCTGTGATCTACTGCTGATGAAAACTGAATGCAGGGGATACAGCTGTCGGCAACCATCAGGATCCTGGTAAGCTATCAAATCATACTAAAACCGTTTTACATCTTCCTATGGGATGGTGTTGGGGCTCTCCTTGTGCCATACTACAGCTGACTGTTCTGGTTATTAAACGTGAAATCTTTCTTTAAATACAATTATGTAACACCCACCTCTCGTCCAGCCTACATGATTGTCTCTGCTTGGGAAGATGTCCCCAAGCAGGACACACCTTTATGACACCAACATGTATGTTCTGTTCCTATTTTCCTCAATTGCACTCCTCAGAGGAATAATCACAGCAACTGCAGCTCGTGCAGAATGGTTCTCCTGCTTTTACCTGAAGGAATGTTCTTGTGCTGTCCCTTGTCATTGTCATGTAGTAATCTGCCTTGAGGCTTATGCCAAGATCTGATTGACGGGTAAGGGAAAGGGCCATATATTTTATCTATTTATTGCAAAATCTTTACATTTTCTAGCAAATATGTTGGCACAATGTACAAATGAAATGTTAACCTCTTTAATGTAAATCAATGTAGACCATGGCAGATAGACCACATGAAAATGCACGTAATGTACTTTCAGCTTGATCATAGCAATTTAAAGTGTGTACCATGATGGGTACATTTTGTAAATAAGGGTGCACACTACATATAAAGCTTACATTAAATTCACCTTTATTTACTTACCCAAGTCAAATTACCCAAAAAAAACATAACAAAAATGATAGTGACATAAACTTACATTAGTCTCAACAAGTACTGCATCCTAATTTTATTTATTTATAAAATATTTTACCAGGAAAGATAAATTGAGATTTCTCTCGTTTTCATGTCCTGGGTCCACAAAACTTTGCATTGATACAATAGGGTACAATAAAATACAAAAACAATATTATTAATACACAATATATACAAAATTTAACATAGAACAGGTAGGAAATATTTAATCAACCATGACACGTGCATTCTGTTTTGAGGTATGTAGAGAGGGATCTCTTAAAGAACTTTAGGCATGGGGAAGATTTGAAAGTGTGCAGGAGGTCGTTCCATAATTGCGGCGCTCTGTAGGAGGAGGAGGAGGAGGAGGATCGTGCTGCTTTCTTTTTGTATTGAGGTAGACTAAATAAATGCTGGTACTGGATCAGAGGTTATAGGGGGTGGGAACAGCTGGGGAGAGCATTCTGCTCAGGTAGGGCGGA